ATATATATATATATATATATATATATATATATATATATATATATATATATATATATATATATATATATATATATATATATATATATATATATATATATATTCAATATATATGTTCAATTGACATAAAAAAAATTGACGGGTCACTTCCACAACCCTAAGCAGAATTAACTAAAACTTAATCCGGTTAATTTTTATGTCCTCCTCTCCCTGTATCGTATGAAAGACTGTATCGGAGTAACCAGCAACCCCAATTTTGCAAAGTTCAGTCTGCCGGAGTCCAAAGCGGACGGCGATAATGGAACTTCGATGGAACTTTAATAAATGATAAGTGGTCTGCATTCAAGCGACGATGTAGTTTGCCCGAGAAAATGTAAAGTCAAAACAAGGCCCCTCTGCCTACCACCGACCCAATTGGAGGATTTAACTACTGACCCAAATTTCACCAAGTGCTTTTAGGGTGAAGACGTCGCGATCGGATATGACAAACACGCAAATCAAGCGTCAAATTATTTCGATTAAAGTTGATATGAATAATGCAAATTGATATACAGGGTGGTTGCTAATTATTAACAAGACAAATTGGATACTGCGCTGCTTCTAATAAGTAGCACTGCGTACGGTCGCGTTAATTAACAAAAATGATTTACAACATTTTACAACTTAAAATATTAACCGTTTTATTGACCGCTCGTCCAAGAATGCCTTATCCCAAATAGCACATTTCGTAATGTAGATCCATTTTGAGTATATTAGCCAACCGATTAAAAATGGATGTACCATGGACGTCCTATTTAAATTCTTTGTACGAAATTGACGTCCACACAGTGTTAATTTGAAGTTCATCCGTTTTCAAGGAATGCCTATTCACAGGCTATTGAACAAGTAATTGAAAAAAAACAGAATGCAGATTCATCAATTCCCAATCAGTGGTACAAAGCATCGCTGGTAATGGTGTTAATAGCACTGGTGGTATCTGCACTGAATAGAAATCTTCTGAGTTACTCGTCTTTTACGTTGCAAAATATCCAAAAAAAAAATTAACTGCTTTCTTGGGCGCTCTTCCATGAATGCCTTATCTCAAGTAGCACATCCCATAATATAAAGGTCAATTTTAGATCCATTTTGAGTACATTAGCCAATCAATTCTCAGTCAGTGGTACAAAACATCGCTGTAATGGTGGGAATAGCAGGAATATACGACAAGTACTAGATGGAAATTTTCTGAAATAGTCGTCTTTTATGTTGCCAAATATCTGAACAATATTAACTACTTTCTTGGGCGGTCTTCAGCACATTCGATAATTTTAAATCAATTCTAAGTACTTTGTACGTCTTTCATCAGCTTTTAAAGGATGCCTATTCAAAAGGTTTTAAACAAGTAATCGAAAAAGTCAGAGTCATCAATTCTCAATTCTAGTTTCCGAACGAATCATATACCCCCTGAAATCACTGGACTGCATTTATTTTTCGATGGATGTGCATTACAGGCAACCAAGAGGTTCAACAGAATCTGTCATTACTTTTCAGTAAGAGTACATTCGTTTCTGCCCTGCGATTGAGATTTTGGATCTGCAAAACGGAATTTCAGAAAACATGACAGAATTTACACTCCAGAAGAATATGAGAATGTAATATTGACTTCCAGGAAAATGCAACCATTTACTGTGAAGCGAATCCGACACGCTGACATTACTGATTTTAAGAACTGGTTTCAATAAGGTTTGCTGTATCAAACTATCGTCAGTTCTTTTTTTTTTATAAAGAAACTTCCACAGGCTACTGTAATGCTTTTTTCAAAACTTCTGCATTCCTTCTGCGTCGGTTTTTGCTTAGTCGAAATTGCTGACGTTTCGCCAATCATCCTGTTGGCTTCTTCAGAGCTTGACTCAAACTGTTTCAGTCAAGCTCTGAAGAAGCCAACAGAATGATTGGCGAAACGTCAGCAATTTCGACTAAGCAAAAACCGACGCAGGAGGAATCCAGAAGTTTTGTAAAAAGTATCGTCAGTTCCTGTATGAAAGTGCTAATCTAGGATATGTTAAAACGTGGGAGTATATAGATGGTTTACACGAGCATACTTTTAAATTACTCAAAGAACATAAGAGCAGCCCACCTCTGCCCAATAATAAGGCATATCAAGGACCTGTACCAATTAACGAAAAAAAAAAAGATGGACATCAAGAAGGTAATGAAATTATATTACCATATCACATCATGGAATACCGCAAATGCTGAAAATGGTTATAGAGATGTCTGTTTTGATAATGTATTTTTTCTTTGTCCCGAATAAACATTAATAAAAATCAACAAATATTCATTAGTTTTTTTTATATAGGGGGTTGTGTTAAAAAACCGTACAAGTCCATCCCTCTTCTTTTCTGCGATTCGTAGTGCATTTTATTTTTTGAACAACTACCATTAAAAATATATTGCAAACCACGAGACCTAAAACTTTTTTATGAAAGCCGAAATCATATATATGACGACTAGTTTTTCAAACTCACCGATTCAATTATAATATGATTTATGTTGTTTTGTATAGAAATGTAAGAGTCCTCGATTTCTATAATGTGCTGTACTGAATTTTTCCAACTGTCAATTGGTATGTTTACATTTATTAAATTAAAATTACCTTTCATTTTACTTTTTTTGTAAATATTCTTGAATTTCAGTTTTTGAACTTGATGAGGTTAGTGCTTTATGTAGCAGACGGCTGTGGTGTGTGTGTGGCGTCATCCATGACAAAAACACTGTTATTGAGACTTTTGTTTTAAGATTGAAACCGATTTTCAAAAAGTTCGGCAATGGTATCCTCATGATAATTCAAATGGTCAACACTTAAGAAATATATCAGAAAGGAAGATACCTATCTCACCCCTGTCTTATCACTCAAGTAAAAATGAATTTGTTAATAACTTTACCTAATAACAATAGATAATAACATCGTTAAAGTTTATTGGGAATGGGCCATCAAAAGCAAACACGATGAAGATTGATAAAGACTATACAATTATTTGACTCTCTAGCCCGTTGACCAAGCATTTCCAAATTTGATTTTAAATTCCCGATTGATAAGAAAGGAATTGAAACATTTCTTTAAATTTATCACTGCAATGACCGTTTCACCATTATAAACTTTAATATATATTTTGTGCACAAAGTCTGTGATAGAAGGTTCTGTCGAGTGTCGTTCTTTAAAGCCACGATGACTGGCAGTTAAAACATCAATTTCTTCAACATTTTCAAAATTGTTTGAGAAATTATTTAGTAAAGAGATAGGGCGGTAATTTTCTACTGGAAGAGGGTCAGACAGCCTGCCTGATGCCCTCTCGTATCAATAAATTAAATAAAAAGCCAGACACGTCATAATTTTTTGTGTTAAATGGACTTGCATCCAGTAAAAGCCACCTCGGTCCATTCTTTTTATTTTTGTTTACCAATAGCGTGATAAAATATTTAGCAACTTATTACTTTGTTATTATTCAAATCAATTGTAATTATATATTTTCACATGAAAATTGTTTCGACAACACCGTGTCTTTATCAAATGATCAAATCAATGAATGAATGAATGAATCAATCAAATTGATAAAGACACGGTGTTGTCGAAACAATTGTCATGTGAAAATATATAATTTCTTGGAAATCTGAACTTTTACTTCTTATTTTTTTTTATTTAATTTTTGAAAATTGTGTCTAGGAGGCTGTGACCATCATAAATACTATATACCGGGTCATCTGATCATGTGAAAAATTGTAAATGAAACTTTGCATTACGTGTCCAAGGGTAAATAGCATTTATTGTAATGAGCTATTAATTTTTTAGGGTAACCTATTTTTTTTCAAATAGCACAATAGTGGGACCAAAAACTTTTTAACGACAAACTTTTTTTTGCGATATTTTGATACCAAAATTTTCTAAATCCGTTAAAAAATAAGCTCATAGGGAGAAAAAAAAAGAGATAAGTAAATACATTTTTATAAAAATAAAATATTACTTAGGTGACTTTGCTTCTATTCATCATTAAGGCGGTATGATTAAAAATTTTGACAGTTTGTACATTTTTATCTGATTATCGATTTTGTTGTGTTATCGATTTGGATTATCCTGGAAAAAAATAATCTGTTTTCAAATTGAAAAAAAGTTGATATGTTTTTGATATACGGGGAATGCAGAAAAAAATCTCGACAGGCCCGTGCATTGTATGCAGTTTTTATAAAAATTTATTTACTGATCTGATTTTTTCCTTCCTGTGAGCTTAATTTTCACGGATTTTGGAAATTTTGCTGTCAAAATGTTGCAAAAAAAAGTACCGGTTTTAAAAAGATTTCGTTCCCACTAGGATGCTGTTTGACAAAACTAGGTTATCCAAAAAAATTCATTATATAAAATGCTATTTGCCATTAGACAATTAAAGAAAAGTTTTATTTACAATTTTTCCCATGATCAAGTGATCCGGTAAATAGTATTTATGATGGTCACAGCCTCCTAGGCACAGTTTTCAAAAATGAAATTAAAAAAAAAAAAAAAAAGAGAAAACCGTCCTATCCTACTTAGAATGATCTCCTGAATCAAAAAATGCAAAAAATATAGGTTGCGCCATTTAAAATTCGAAAGTTGCTTTCGTTTCCGCTCAAACCGTAAGTGCAACTACACATTGTCCAAAAATTGGACATTCAGCCTATATTAACCCTTCCAAATTTCAAATCGCTATCTCAAACCGTTTAAAAGTTATAGTGTTCCCACTTTCTTGTGTCATCCGGTATATCTGCAACGCAAGCTTACTTGTTTTAACAATGGTGTCCAAATATGGCAGCATTTGTAAACATACTGTTTTAATAATAACATTTAAAATTTGTCTTTATCTGCAACGGGCGTTGATTGTATGTTAAGAGCCGAAAATATTTATCAGAAAACATCTTTAGGCGCGCGTTCAGCGCTTGTCAGCTGTGGGCGAAACTGCTAAGGAGCGAAAAGCAATTTATATATGTTAACTTACCTCCGTCAATGCCTCTCCCAGATTTTCCATCCGAGTTCCATTCTTCTTCTACAACAAAGAACGTGAATTATTTTTTAAAATCCAATCTATCTTTGAGTGACGAATGAGCTCGCTACGTGCACATAGGTGATTTTTCATAATTAAAACTGTGGATTGTACAAAACATCACGTCTTCATTGCTTAGCCGCAAGAATGGAAAGTAGGGCTCGGATACGCCAGCGTTTCGGATGAAATTTAGGGCGTTGCCCTAATAAATATAAAATACAATAGCGCGACGGACTATGTAGTTCTTCGCTTTTTTTAATGAAAAAATGCTCATAAGTATGTGCTCTTTATTTTGATTTTTCATAATTGAAGAAACGAGATCTTGGTTACTTTTCTTTCTTGCGGTTTCAGCAGGCTTTGATAATCTTCGCCCAAAAGCGCAGGAAATATTTATAGATATACAGTATGCCGTACGAGATACGTAGATAATTAAATTAGGAAAAAGTTGAAAAATTTAAACGTTTATAACGTATTGTTAGAAAACAAAAAAATCGCATCACTTCGGGAAGTACGCCGAAAAATCCGAAATTTGCCAATTTCGTTTGTGTTTTTTTCGTGTGTTATTTAAAAATCATCATTCATTTATTATGCATCGGCATACTCCTCAATTTCTTAAACATTGTGAACTGGGGCAAACTAGTGATGCTGAAAGGGTGTTTGTATAGCAGAAAAGAATAATTTTTAAACTTTCTCCGAGACAGTCTTGCAAAGAAATATTTCAACAACACAAAATAATTACGGTTCCTTTTCTATGCCTATTTAAATACTGCTAGTTACAAAAAAAATAAACATTTACATAAGAAACACATTGATAACCATTGTCACTACACTCGTAACAGAGCTTAAACTGAATCCAATATTTCGTAGACGATCTTTAAGCTATGCAGGGCCAGACTATTATAATATGCTCCCGTCGAAGCAATTTAAGAAACATATCAAGTTGCTTCTGACAACCAATGTTTTTTATACCCTAAGAAACGCATGTTCTAAATACATGTTTGTAATGCTATATTGATGATGTATTTGTATTGTTTATTACATACACATCTTATATGATTGTCCTATACGTATAACTTAATTGTAAGAGATACACATTTTCTATTTCTTCTATTTTAAAACATTTTAATGGGTTTGTGAATAAATGACTTATCTATCTATCTATTAAACACTCGCTCCGCTCTTGTCAAATAAACTTGTGAGTCAAATGCCGTTTACCGCACTTGTTGCATAATATACTATTTCTACTCCGTTCTGTAAAATACCAATTTATACACCGATTTAGCGTGCGCAAAACGTCACTTTACTACGTGAGTTTCTTGTCCCACAGATGCGAGCCATTTCGGACATTTCCGGGATATTACCGCACGGCATGAATTTTGACGTTTGTTAGTTCTGATGGGCATGTCAGTGAATGTATTCGTTTTGCAAAAATATACCCAAAAAGCAACTGCCGTAGAAAAAGCATACTATGCAACACGTTTGGTAAACTCTTTAAGTCACTCGTTTATTAAGCACTCGCCTCGTTCGTGTGTTAAACTCAATTTATTGACATATTGATACATGTCACCCTGTAAAACCAAACTAATATATACGACACTCGCTTGCTCTCAGAACTTTATTGCCCCCCACCCCCTTTGCATACAGGTACACCGTGTGCCAAATCAAACGACCCACTATACGATCTGGAAACCCATACGAGATACGAAAAAAGTTTCGCACAAAAGTTTCTTGGATTCTCCTGAAGATTTAAAATATTATAATTTTGATGATACAGGGAGTCCTGAAAGTGTCCCCTCCGACACATGAAAATTTCTACCTGAACTACGCAAAATCCGAATATGAATTTCGTAAGAATGTGATCTTTATTTTAACCAAGGATTCCAAAAATGTCGACATATACGAAATATACAAATAAGAAAGTTGATATCGGACGAGACACTTTTGGGACACACTGTATCAACAAACTTTTTTTCGTATCTCCTGTGGGTTTCCAGATCGTATAATGGGTCGCTTTATTTGACACACGGTGTACATACTGAATTGAAGGAACCTAAGACACTAAAAATATTTCTTTACTGTACCACCGAAACCATATATTAATGTAATTTTAGGAATGCAACAGGTGCTTTAGTAGGTCCCTGCAACTCAGTACCTACCTCTATGCAATCAACAAGATCAAATATTCCTATAAAACTAGAACATTTAGCTAGAGTTCTAGGGGCAGGCTGAGGCGCAGACATATTGGTTTATTTATACCACAAAAGGGGAGCATCGGTCATTTTTCTTGCAAGCTCCTGTAAGAAAGGATTCAAATTTGGGGGACGGGGAAGTTACAGAAGGGAGTAGAAAAACGTTATTGTTGCTATTTGTTGGTGTTGGTTCTATTTTGCTATACAAAATGGAACATGCTTTTTCAATTAAGGAGATGAGTGATATGCTACAATATTTTAACTTATGTTGTAGTAACACCGTGGAAACTGCGGGAATGTATTTAAACAAGTACCCAGAGAGAAAAAACCGACTATAAAAATTTTTGGAAAATTAACTACAGTAAGCAGTATAGTGTGGATATGAATCGAGTTTATTCAGAAATAAATCCTGGAATGAAAAAGGATGTATTGATAGTTGTAACTGTTTTAAATATAGGACGTACTGGAATAGGGAAATCTACTGCTCGTTTTCTAACATACATCGAAATCTAACAGAACGTGGATCGCTTCGTTGATTTCAGGGCCAAGAAAATTGGCGAATTATGATTATGAGATAGTGCTAAACAGAATTGAGGAAAATCTTCAAATGGCATTTAGACCCCTGACAGATATCACCAATCCAAAGAAAAAGTCTCGCAATTATTTTCCAGTTTGTGGCGCAGGCAAATGAATTTTTTGCTTGATAGAATGATCCAAATGCAAGAACTACATCGTTTTGAAAAAAAAATGGTCTAACGTAGCAATATTTTCAGACAATACTCGCAACTTGCATTTCCGGAGTAATGAGAATCCGAGGGTTTTTCGAAGTACCAACTTTCATAGTTAATAGTTAATACGTTGATAAATTCATTTTTTCCGTAAACTGACTAAAACCTTCTTTCAAAATGAAAACCATTTTCAGATCCAGTAGGGCCTGTGGGCGTTTCTTTTATTTGGACGTAGAATATGCTGTTCTAGTTTGGCCTACGAATTAAGTAAATTTGTGGAAAATAGAGCTCGTATTATAGATGGAAAATTGGATTGACACTGAAATTGTCCTTTCGTTGGACTTGTGAAAACAATACAGAAAACAAGTGGGCCTTTCAAAATAACTAAAGAAATGAGGCTCAAAAGAAAAAAATATGTACCTGCTACCAGTTGCGAAAACAAAGGACCTATATTTAGCCGGCGCCAATCAAACCGGATTTGGGACAAAGGAGTTTTGAATATGCAAGAATAATGACGAAAATTTTAAGAAAGGAAAGGAAAATTTATTTGGACGTTCTTCTGGTTGCAGAGATTAGTGTTCATTACATCAGTAACAGATTGGATTTATTTGAATACATATTTACTAACTTCGGCAAAATGCAATATTTGAATACTTTTCCTGAAACTTTTCACAAAGGTAGAGATAAGAATTTTGGCCCTCTGGGGATTAAGTCACCACTTTGTTTGTTTTGGCAAATAGGTCACAATTATGAAAGATGTAATTAAATAAAATAAGTGATAATGGGAAGCAGTAATGGAAAATACTTTGGTTTTAAATTGAAATATTGAAATTTAAACTTTTTGTTTGAAAACTTGTAATGTGATATATTTTGAAATTTAAAACAATATTTTTTGTTTAAACTGTAAAAATGGCCGCTTTAGTCTTTAGAAAATTATACATTTATTTTCAAAATATTCAAAATCATTTATAAAGAATGACTTTTTTCCGTATCTTCCATTCTTTCTTCTATTTGTCCTCTTGTCTACTTTGTTCGTGGATATACTGTTTACATTTTTTTGATAAAATTATGTTGTTTGAAAAAACGAAAATATTCAAATTCAAATATTTCTATAACAAGGGTAATGCGTACTTAATGCTACGGTTAATTCTAACAAAACACCTATTGAAAAAAAAAAGATAAAACAAACAAAATAAAAGGAAATGTTAATAATAATAATCATAAAAAGGTATAATCTTATTTGTGGCACATTTCCCTGAAAACCGTTAAGATGGCAAAAAAAGAAAAGTTTCAGAATGGCCATCAACGCTGCACAGATCCATCCTTGTTCTTGGTGTTGGATTATCTAGTTTTTCCACAATTTCTTTATATCTTTAAGCAGATTTAACCTCCTTATAAAGAGGACATCTAGACAGTACGTGGAATAGAATTTTATTTTCTTGGACATTTTATACAGTGCAAAGTTCAGTATGTTTAAGTTTATAAGACAAACATTTATACGTAAATTTTGTGAAGTGATTTTCCGTTAGTCTAAATTGAGCTAGAACCGTAGTTGTGCGGAATGGTAAATTAGAGCTAAGGTATTTTGAAAAACCATCACTACTACATAAACATCGTGAAGTGAGAATCTTGAGATCAACCTGAAAGCAAATTTCTTTGTATTTAATAAGAATCTTAGGCAAAGTGCGTTTTAGGGTGCTTGAACCAAGAGTTTGCTACAGATAAGAAAATCCGAGTCGACAAGTCAGACGTCTCACTTGCGCAACCCAACTATATTTAATGTCCATAGTGGTCGCCAATTTTAATTGGAGATCAAAACACTGACTTAGGAGTCTATCGGTGCCCAATATAAATAACTTGCCCAGAAAGTTTAAACATATTTCAACATTAACTTTGAAAAAGCCAGATTCAATAAAATCAAAATAACTCACAACCGAGAGAGCAATGTTACTAGGAAAACAACTGACAATGATACTATTAGAAACCTGTATTAATACCTGCCATATATGTATGACAACTAAACCTCAACAGGATCATTAATTAGGAAAGATCACCTAAAGGAAACGATTTTTGGTTTTTGAGAACTACTAATTTGTTCAACTTTTCAATTTTCAATTTTTCAATAGTTTTTAGCTTGGATCCAATGTCAGTATCAGAGTAGCTGATTATTACCACTCATCGACACTAGAATGTTTGCAAGAAATATTAAAAAGATGTATGGACTTAAAGACTAACCTAAAAGCAAGCCGAATGTAATATCAATCTGCACGGAAAAATCTTCTTGAAAGTTCTTTGTAACACTGATAAAGTTGGGACTGACACCATAGCTATGTAGGTTGTGCCACAGTAACTTTTGGAAGACCGAGTCGAAAGCTCTACAAAAATAAACAAAGACAGCATAAACCTTTCTCCCTTTCAGGCGCAATTGCAATTGTACAATAGAATGTAGAGTATAGATGTTGTCAATGCAACCCGACTGGGCTTCTGGAATAATATCGACAGTAGACTCCCATGTCTGAAGGGTCCTCCTGTCTCCCTTCTTGTAACGCTACGAAAAGAGGTCGCACGAGCTACGTTTTTTGTACTTTGAAATGGAATAAAACAAACATTATTTTATTTAAAGTGACATGAAATTTACTTTATTCGAAAGATAATCTTCTGGCATTATAACTTAAATATATATAATATATTTTAAATATTGTTCGGGGGTAGCGTAATCTGGAGCTCCAATTTTCATTAACTTTTTCCAACATTTGTGCCCGAATATTAGCAATAATGCGGCGAATGTTATCCTCCAAGTCAATCATTTCGGGCTTATTGGCGTAGACTAGCCACTTCTTATATCCCCACAGAATATAGAGTAGCGGCCTTAAATCACATGACCTTGGAGGCCAACGTTTCCTTTAATACATCAATTGTGGCACTTTACATCATATTTGTTCAATTGATGAGCGAAAACGTTAGTAATCATGGCTCTACAGCGGTCACCACAAAGTTCTGGTCAGAATCCTTTTTAAAGAAGTACGGATAAATCAATTTTTCTGGATGTAAGGGCGACTCAACATACATTTTAAGATCATCATCACTCCAAATACGTCAGTTCCTTTTACTGACGTATCCATTCAACCAAAAGTGAACTTTTTCGCTTACGAAATTCGGAATCAACTACAATCCTGCTCTGGGCCCATTCACCGAATCTACGTCTTGCTTCAATTCTTGGATGAATTGGATTTTGTAAGCACGCAAACCAACTTCTTTCCGCAAAATCTTCCATAAGGTGGATGGACACATCCAATACCTGTGCACGATTGCGGATAGACTCATTTGAGTTTTCCTCCCTGTAGGCATGTAGCACAGCGTGTGGATGTATATTATCATTGATAGGAAACGTAGTGTGAAAACATTCCATAGTTAATCAATTGCTCATTGCTCTCATGTTGACCGTATAATTAATGTAGTTCGCGATACGTATTTTGAACATAATAGTGATTTTCACAACCAAACTGTTCAAAAATCAATTGACAGCTGACAAGTTAAAAAAATGTTGCCAACTTAAAGTCCTTTATCTATAAAAAAACACACTTCATTAGAGAAACGGGAGCTAAGTGGAAAGAGTCTAGTATTTTTTATTGTTATTATCGCATATAAGTAAACTAAATCAGATACTTCCTTTTCAATTAATTCAGAATATGCAGAAGTTGTCTTATAGAGGATGAATTAATCCGATTCGTACCAATTCACAAAAGAAAATTTTACTGTCTTACTCTTTGGTCCAAACTCCGCCAAGTACCTGTCCTCGTTGAAATACCTGGGTTGTAATGACGGACTGGCTTCTAAATGCCTCTACAACAACTCCAACATGTACTCGTCAGCAACCAAAAAGTATCGAACTCGTGGAACCTCGATCCGGATGCAATGTAAAACAAAGAAGAAGAAAAAAAACACCGAGCAAGCAATTGTTTAACGTCTTAGGATACCAGAAATTCATAGAAAACTTACCCACGATGTTGTTTGGGGTTTCCGAGGTTCCGTCAAGTGAAATCCGACTAAAACCTCGGTTGCCAAAAACAATGAGTTTAAAAGAGGTCGCAGTGGAATTAAACTGCTCAAAACAAACTTAACATATACCGATGGATGACCTCTACATTGGAAAATTTAAGATCTCCAACACCTCCTTCTTGACAGAACTCCTCGTGTTATCGTCAGGTCAGAGATAAAATATTTTTCTTCTTCTTTCAATGAGCTCGCGTCATTCGTGGCGGCTGGACAGTTTTCTTCCTGAATGATATGTGTATTCCTCGATACGTATGGACTCTAAGTCTGCGCCTATCATGGTGCGGTACAAATAAGGTGAACGATTTATTTACTATAAACTATAAAAAATGTGGCTCCCCTCGCTTCCATCACGGACTTCCGGGAACATCCGGCCTGGTTACCGACGCGTATGGGAAAAACAGGAAAATCGCGGGACACCTATATCTTCAAAAGACACTATCTATTCACTAAGATCCAAGACGATAACAATTTTAGCGAAAACAAGTCTTAAGCTTTGCAAAACTCGGACTCTGTAGGCAGCGGACAAGTATCGACCTGTCTCATCCAATGCTACCCAGAGAATCCCCAAAAATAAAATCAAAGTCGAAAAGCGATAGGTTTAACATTAGTACGTATCAGACGATGTAATATTAAAAATTTTATAAAATACTTAAAAGTCTTAGTTAACCACTAGTAAAAGTGTGATTACATCAATAACTAATGTAATCCCTTTGTTCTACTAGTCCTATTCGGCCCTCGTTAGTTAAAACATCCAAGTACCAAATTATTAAAACAGAAATAATCGCGTTTTTATAAAATATGTTGCGCACTTTTTGTTTTGCATGATAACCAATTTTATTTCTATAAAATAAGTATGTAGATTTATTAAGAATAAATGAATTAAAACAAAAAAACAGTTTCTTAGAACACAGTAATGCATAGGCAATATAACGTATTTATTTAAATATTTATCCTTGAAAAGTAATACATTTCAAGCAATGAAAACACTTTAATATTAAAGAAACACAAGTTAACTTAATTTAGGTACCTAATCTGAATCTGCTTCAACATTAGTCTCAGCAGCATACTTATTTCTTCCCAAAAAATCATACGGTTTGTAGGAATAATTGGTCTTAGTTTTGAGATCACATTATTTTTTTTCCAATGATATGCCCCACATTTATCTTTACAAAAAAAAAACAAAAAAGTCCCTATTTTTGTTTTCGGCCGCATAATGTCAAGACATATTGTAATATTTTTAACATGAATATTATTTAAAAAAAAAATCATGAAAAGTAGAAACTAAGTCTTCCTTATTTCGTCCGGTCACACCTTCAATGCCATATTACTGTTAGTGGATTATTAACGTCTCTCACACCAGCGCGAATACCTCGGCGTAAGTGATTTTAAACCTAAGGAAACTTACTTCAAATACTAACATCCACCACAAACACGAACAACTGGGATTGATGATTTTTGAGGTTATCTTGTAAATTATTCGATGTGTCTAAATCACCGGCACAGTGCAAAAAACTAATCGTTGGAAAACTACCCTGTTCTAAGTATTATAGGTATAAGCAGCCAGTAAACAAACTGACTTAACACCTAAGATAAAATGTCCTATCTTTAAAGTTTCAATGGGTTAGGACTATTTATTCCAGTAAATGCCGGATAGGACGTTTTGATTAAGCAAATTCGTATTATTAGGGCATAGGACAATATTTTTAAGCAATTTAAACATGCAATATGAACACTTAGGACATTCTAACTTAGAAAATAGATGAAAATAACAATGCATTACTAAGATATAAATAAAACCCAAAATTCGAAAAAATTGATGTTGGGACGTTTTAACAAAAGGAGGGCAGTATTGATAATTATCCTTTACAAATACTAACGAACTAACAACATAACCATAGATGTTTTCGAAACATGAATTAAATGTAAAATGAAAATTATATATTAATTAGATCGTCTTCCAAAAATACAATAGGGTCCAAGAGATATACGAGGTGAGTTGTAAACTCGACTCCACATAAAACATTACGAATATAATTGTACCGTTACCTGTTTGAAACCGATCCATTGTAGTATGATTAACTATGGATAGTCGAGTAGTATTATTCAAATTTTTTACAGTAAATTAACATTTATAATTTATTTTGTTGGAATGAATACAATACACGAATAGGAATTTTTTAAACCATGAAATAGTTCTGAAATACAACCGTAACAAACCTCCCCTAACTTGACGCACCTGAACATTCTTCCGACGAAGCGAAATCATCGTCGTCGTCGTCTCCCAAACCCTTGCTGCAGCAGCGACTGCATTTCGAGCACATCACGCGACTTCCTTTTCTATGAAAGAACCGTCGCGACTAGATGGAAACCGAACACGACGAAGACTAAAAACCAAAACTAAATCGGGAGTGGCATCCCGACGCTCGTCGCCACCGTATTGTCCGATATATCATCCCGGGTTATTTTTCCACGTATATAATTAACGCACGTCTCGAAAAACGTAATCCCGTCACAACGCCATCTTCGTCGGTCCCCCGGAGGCCAATTAGTGTCGTCCGACTTAAAATAATAATCATTTAATTTCCGGAGTTTACTTTTTTGCTCGCGCGAATTTCTCCTTCACTGGCATTTAATAATGGTAATAATAATATTAATAGCAGGTCGCCATTTAGATATCTATAAACAATAAGACATAAAGCAGTATAAGGCAGGAGCAAGGTGGCGAGATCTAGCACAGCTACTCACCTAACCATCCTAGAGAGATTTTATGAATTAACTTAGAACATTAACTTGAATGTAATACTGTGAAAGGGAAATATATATACTCATCCTTACAAAAAAAAACTCAAAAAACTCAAATGCATTTTTACAGTTAGGGACTTCAATAGAACGGAGGTGTTGCAAAGAACTACAGAGACAACGAAAATAAATGAAAAGAAAATAGTATTGATTGGACGGTAGATTAATTTCAAGTTAGTTTAAAGTGGGAAGTGGTTGAACAGTTGAAATAGTTATATATTTGTAGTCGAAAATTAAAGACGAAAATAGAAGGTGATGTAGAAGTACACACACAAACTATCGCTCTACATTTTTTGGTATTTTTTAAATTCTATTTTAAACTTTTTAAAGATTTTTTAAAATTTTCTGGAAGCGAATTATACAACATGATTGCATTACAGACATAGCTTCTACTAAACAGGGAAGTGTTATATTTGGCAATTGAAAACACACTATCATTTTTTAAATTGCTTAAAACTTAGCTTTGAGGAGGGTGGGATGACTACTACCTGTAATTAGCCGATAATTAAAATTTGGCAACTGGACAGACCTACGCTTTTCCATTTTTAACAAGTCCAATTCTTTCATTTTTTCTGACACATCACAGATCATATATACGAAGATTGCAAGCAAGCCGACAACAGCTATTCTGATTTTTTTGAATGCGAATCCTAAACTTAGGATCTAGACACGGGCCATAAATAAAACCGCAATATTTAAAATATGACAACCCTAAGCTTTCGCATGGATTCCGTTTCACGCTTAGATTAAGAAAATGTTTGCTTCAATATAAAAGTTTTAGATTAATAGATTATGAATTAGTTTCTTAAGTTTCTAAGCTCCGTGTCTAAGATTTCTAGGAGAATCGACAACATTTAATGGAATATTACTAATTTTAAAATCAATTTGTTATTCAGCTACAGTTACGTTTTTATTGCACCAAAGAATCGGGCATAAGACTTACTTGCATTTAATTTAAGGTTATAATCCAAGGATAATTTACACAAACTCTCCAATTCATTGTTAATCATTGTTTCAATATGGAACCCTCGACAACGTTTTGTCATTGCAATTTATACTACCGTCGAAATATGATTTAGATAAATTTAGAGCTGAATAGTGTATGGAAATGCAGCCACCTTATAGCCTGAAAATGCAGACAATTCAATAAAACTAATCCTGATTTACAAAATATGAACAAGAAGGAATTTGCTCTTAGAATATGTGATAATATGAAGAATCGCATGTATTAGCGGATTGGAAAATCCAATAATATACACGGTGTCCCATTGAAAATTTCAATGTTGATGCTACTTTTTCGAAAAAGCGGCAACGTCGATTGATAGAGTATCAATACTTATGGAACTAACCAAATTTTCGGAAGAATCAACTGTACCGTTCGTCATAAACATGTAAGGTACCATCAACCGTGAAACACCCTATATACTGTTTGAGGGGGCAGAACATTGTCTCGAATGACTGATTCTCATACTAGTGAAAGCTAAAGTCGCGGTTAAGATTCTCGGATTTTTTGATTGAACAAGATTTGAAGTTCGGTTTCATGATTGCGTTCTGAAACTGCTGATGAGTTTATTGGCTCTTTTTCAAATTTGTTTAACCTATTGGATGTTTTTCTGCCCACTTCTCCAATGTATTCTTTCTCCTGATATCTCAAACGGAATTTGCTCTTTGGCGGATCGAAAATATTGAAATATTTTTGGATAACTAGTTAATCTGGTTTTAAAGTTATATTTCTTTAGAACTTCTCACATGTAATAATAATAATAATAATAATAATAATAATAATAATAATAATAATAATGATAATAATAATAATTTTAATTATGATAATAGATAGCAGATTAACAAACACACAATATACTAATCTAATTAAATCTACCATCGACTTTCACAGTCTAGTTTAGAATGAGTTATTCTACTGAAACAGTGCGTGCTTGTACCATTGTTAATATTCAACAAAATTGAACAAATAAATTGAAGAAGACGCCCTATCCTAGCTATGAATTTTTAAAACATGGAGAAAAAGTGGAAAAAATACCAACAAAACAAAATGGAAAAACAATCAGAAAAATCTCTACAACATATTCTGTTGATGCAGTAATTCTTTCTTCTATTTAATTTTAAGCGTAGTAGAATTTCAATACTTTTGAAAGTTGATTTCGATCTGACATTTGATTCTGCATAATTTAGCCCTTTTTATTATTTTTATTAGTACAAGAACAAAAACAGAATTAAAAGAATCTAAATTAAATAACAAAGTCTCAAACTATAATTACATCCTTTTATTTTTGGACCCAAAAACTTGTATACTCTATGACCGGATTGTCCACAAGCAATAATCTACCACCATTGCAACCTCCTTTCATCAGCATTGATAGTTGCGTTCCATTTGTTTTAAATCTTGCTGGAAACTCTCACTTTGCTCCTCACTTACGACAAGTAGTGACAAGCAGGAAAGTAATCCTGGTGTGAGTGTCAAAACTGTAGTTTCATACTCAAACTGCACCCCATTTCTCCAAATTTCTCTAACACGTTGTCTACAATGTTTTTGTAATTTGTATATTTATTGGTTTCCCAAAAAAACCGTTCATAATATTAGTAAATAAAACCCATGCGACCTTTTCAAATTCGACCATGGTACTCACCAAGTCTTGATCTTCCATTATTTTCCTTTAAATTTGCACCCGAGAAAGCCGAAAATTTTCCACATAGATTTTTAAAACATCTTCCATCTTTATTTAAACGTGGTCCATCGGTCCTAATTTAATATGCAATGGTGGTAGAGAGAATTTCTCGTAAAATATTTTTTGATCCGGGAGTTAAATTAACCCCTTTGGTTCAGTTCCTTTTCACCCAATATTGCTGCACACAATGAGCATCAGGTACAGCAGCAAGAAAATAGAACAGAATCGAGACTTTTCTTAGATGAGTCAATAAAAAGCTTCCACTCCTCAGATTTAAATTCTGTACCAAATTTCTTTATTAGATTAGGAATATAGATACAATAAACGCGCATCCCGAAATATGAGAGAGAGAAACACCTCATATATCACTAACACCACTAAGGGTATCTTCATATATCTCAGGATTAGAAAAACTGACATCTGAGTCATGTGGCACTGGTCTAATTGCAGAATTGCGGTTCGAATAAACAATGTTTTTCAATTTTTTAGTATTATATTCACGAAGCGGAAATAACAGTAATCATGGTGGATTGTTGACTTTTTCAGTATCATAGGGCAGGGATCGCCTTATTACATTATTCCAATGTCTGAAACCTTCTTCACATACGTTGCTTACAGCCGGGTATGTCTTAATCACTAATGTTCACTTTAAAATGAACATAGGGGAGGGTGGGCCAAGGCGGGTGGCTTTTAACGATCAAGTCCATTTATTTTTGAGTAACTTTAACTTAATTTTGGCGAAGCTTCTGCCCGTCATACCCCACTCTCCCGTATTTATAATTTTATGTATAATAACTATATTATATATTTAATAATTTATACTTTCAATAAATTAATTATGATTCGGTTATAACAATATGGAATAGTTTTTTTAAGGACTAAAAATGTAGAAATAATAAAAAAAAAATTGGTTAATTTCTGAGGTGGGCCTTCTTGCCCCCCACCCCTTTTCAGCCTAGTAAGAAAAAAAATTTTAGGTTACAATTTCTTGAGCACAAAGCAAAACGTCTCTGGAATATTTTTACAAAGTCTTGCAATTTCAAACGGAGTTTCTTCAAGAAATGCTGCGTCGACAAGATGCGGCAATGTTTTCACTACATATTTTGGAATCACAGAAAATAAATTATTTTTAGGGGATTCCCCGCTAATATTCTGTTCATTTATGAAATATATATGCCAGTGGCGTAGAATTTTTAGAATGATAAGTAATGTTTCAATTTTTACAACAACAAATATGACATCTCAAAAATTAATTCAAAAATATAGATACAAAAAGAAACATTGTTTTTTTATTAGTTTCGTTCCTATGGTTATATAAATACTGGAAGTTATTGAGTAAAACTTTAGATTTTTGAGAGGAATTGTAATATTTTTCCCAATTTTTCTTGAACGAATTTGTCTTGTGGTTGACAAAGAAGCGTTAAGACCAATTTCATCTAGGCGCTTAAGTCACAATTCACTTACTGTCCGCTCACGGTCAAGATTTATTCAATGTACTTTTTTAGGAGCATCCATCATTCTGGTTTCTAAAATTCCGTTCCGATTTCGCGTCTGTGGTACTTTCTTCTGTACCCGTGAATGTGTTTTGTTTCGGAGAAAGCGGAAAAAGAAAAAGATCGCTTATAGGCAACGGTGGGTAATTTGTCACACGGCGAAAAAACAAATTTTTAATTATGTATGCCGTATTGCAAACAAAGATATTTGTATGCGTGACCGCCCTAATAATGCTAGAGGCAATGCTGATCAACCTTCGAATAGGCCATATAAATGAACATTGCACATGCATCCTCGTTTCTCTATATCCCAGGTATCCCGAAAGGTAGGAATCGCCTAGTTCCATTATTCCAATGACCTATACCTTCTTCACATACCTTACCATCAATACGTGGCGCCTAGGGTTTGTCTTAACCACTTATTTTACATTCTACTTCTCGTCATACTGTTAATAGGATCGAGCAGTCCGAAAGAGAGCATTTACCAACGAAACACACAAAGACAAACCGTGGAATTTCGTTACATTCGAAATATTTTGAATACATATCAAAAGTTGTATTTCAATATCAACTAGGATAAAAA